TCACAGTTGAAGTGTACCTCTGGTGCAAATTACTGACCTCTGTCATCATTTTAGGTGGGGGAACTTGCACAATCGGTGGCTGACTAAATACTTTTTTTGCCCCACTGTATAGTGCACGTAATCAAATATTAGTTTTTGTTCTTTTGCCCTATTTTTCTGTGTATGATGTATAATGTGTTAAATAATAATCTTTCTTAAAATACTTTCCTTCTTGTTTTCAGGTAACATCAGTCTCAATGCAACTCAGTCACCTGAACAAGATGCAGCTTCCAGACACATACAAACAGCCTCTATTGTCATCTACTGTATGATAGTTATAGCTGGAACTTTGGGCAATGCTCTGGTTATCTATGTGACGGGCTTCAAAATGAAGAAAACAGTTGACTCAGTTTGGTTTCTCAACCTGGCCATAGCTGACTTCCTCTTCACAGGCTTCCTGATTTTCTCGATCATTTCTCTCTCTCAGAGTCACCGATGGCCTTTTGGACAATTCATGTGCAAGCTCAACAGTTTTTTGAGTTTAGTCAACATGTTTGCCAGTGTCTTCATTTTAACAGCCATGAGTTTGGATCGTTGTTTGTCCATCTGGGTGGTGGTGTGGGCACACAACAAACGCACAGTCTGCAAAGCTCAGCTCATATGTGTTGGTATCTGGGTGATTGCTGCGGTCTGCAGCACTCCTTATGCAACTTTTCGCACTGTTGTGGAATACAATGGGGTACATTACTGTGGTTATTCTATGACACATGAACAGCAATGGAGTCTCCACATTTTTCGCTTTCTTATGGGCTTTGTGATCCCATTCCTGGTCATATTTGTGTCTTATGTGGCCATAGGCATACGTGCAATGCGCATGTCAAGAACAAGGAGACGCAGATCTCGCCGAATCATTTTCTCAATCATTTTTGCATTCTTCATCTGTTGGTTGCCCTTCCATGTTTGCAATTTTATAGAATTAAAGGCTGTGACTAACCCTAAAACCTTGCCCATTGTTAGAATCGTGGGTTCTCTGACTTTGAGTCTGGCTTTTCTGAACAGCTGCTTGAACCCCATCCTTTATGTTTTCATGTGTGAAGAATTCATAAAAAAGCTTCGGCAGTCCATATGTTTTGTACTCGAAAGTGCTCTGGCAGAGGACCATTTATCGTTTATGTCCACTCGCTCTGTGTCATCAACCTTTTCAAGGATTTCCCAAAAGTCAGAAGCTGCTGCAACTTTGGAGAAGATCGACCCAGCTGCTTTTGAATCCTGCACAGAAAGCAAAGTAGTCATCACTGAGGAGACACCAAACCCCGAATAAAAACTTACCGTTGGCAATGTAAATTTGAATTAATTTTTTAATGTAAAATTTAATCTCAGGATGATTCAGATTGTAAATTTGTGCAAAAAAATCTAAAATGTTTTGTTGTTTTGTTTTTGTGACCCCTACTGTTTTCTTTAGATTTTTCTAACTATTCCAGGGGAAATCTCACTATGCTCCATGCAGTAGTAAGAAAACTAAACTAGCCATTATAATAGAAAACCTATGAAGCTTTGAATTGTGGTATTTAATTTGTTAAAAATGAATTATGTAATCCATACAGTCATATTAACATTTTTGATTGAAGAACAGCTTTATATTTGTGTATATGAGTTTCTAAAGCTCTAGATTATTTCATGTTTTTTAATATCAGCATCCACTGAACGGGGTATTAATTATGCACATAATTAACCAGAATAATTGTCTCATTTCTTTAAAAATTCGTAATAAACCATACCTTACAGATTTTATATTGTTATCAATCTCAAAACCCACAGTAGCCATTTGTTGTCTTATCTCTGTGTTCTGTAGCAATTTAAAATTAAATGGTCCAAAGTCATCTTCATCACAGTGTAGCAGAGGTGGGACCAAGTCACTGTTTTGCAAGTCTCAAGTAAGTCTCAAGTCTTTATCCTCAAGTCACAAGTCAAGTCTCAAGTAATGTCAGGCAAGTCAGAGTCGAGTCT